ATATATATATATATATATATATATATATATATGGCCCAAGTTACTACTACCATCACTTTCTATATACACATCCAAATCGAAGATGGTACTAGTGATGCGTTATTTGTCTGACTTTTTGTTTTCCTTAAAAAATGTGCAGAACACTGCTATCCCCGTGAACGGTATCTATCAGGGCCCAACAGCCGAGCCAGTACTCGTGACGAGCCCATTCAAACACGGTAATATACACTTCATTACTCTGATGCCATGGACTTTTTTTTTACCTGCAATCGTACAACGCGAATTGCTCAAGTTGTAGTTAAGTGACCCGCAGTGGTACCGACAAATGCTTCCTCTTTTCTTTTTAGTTCCACCTAGGGAGCCAGATCCAACCGTGCAAACGGGCATCGAGCTTGGCTCCGAGTGCACCGAGCCGCAAAACAATCATTTGAATGGTGAGCTTTTTTTTTCCCTCCCCCAATGATATAACATTTTTTGGCAACAAGTGCAATACATTTCATAGACTGCGTTTTGTCAACTGCGATATATTTTGTTTTCTTTACAATCGGTCTTTCCCCCCCCCCCCCCCCCACATCGATCAATTCGTTTGTTCGAGTCCCATATTGGCTCGTTTATCGCGACGTAACGTATTTGCGTCTGTTTTATCGAATTTTAAAATCGCGCGAACGTGCTTTGCTTGAGAAAATTGATGGATTGAAAAATTGGTTTGCGCATTTTGACAGTATCTACCAGCAGAAGCCTTGCCGTCCCGGAATATTCATATTCATCTTCGGACGAAGACGAAGACTTTTATGACGCTGCCGATGAAATCACCCCAACGCTCTCCCAAACAACGACGTAAGAACATTAAATTTCAAATTCGTCTTTCTTTCCGTTTTTTACATATCAAAGTATCGGGGGGAAAAAAACCAGAGATGGCGAAAAATAAAATTATGGCAAATGATTGTCGCCAAAGGTGGCTTTTGGTGCGAGGAAACACAATTAAATTCGCTGGTTGCCCTATTTTTCACGTTTGCTAAATGATACTACATGATTTGATTTGATACATTTTCAAAGTTGATACTTGTTTACGAAATTGATGTGCTCGTTTCAACAATGAGAGTACAGCTAGCGAATTTCGTTTGTTTTTATGTACCAAACTGAAAGTGGTAAGTATACACCTTCTGCGCTGTATAAATTGAATGCAAGGAATGCTTTTTCGCAATTTTTTTAACAACGTATCGGTGCCTGATTGTCACAGGAAAAAACGAGAAATCGAAAAAACGCCAGTTTCGACGGAAGACAGCCACGTGGAAAATCGTCCTACGACCATAAAGGTTCCAGCCGCTCCCCCCGTCAAGCACGACGGATCGATAGACTACGACGGTAAGCATGTGCTTGACTGTTACTTTTTTTCCCTTGGTTGGATTCTCATAAATGTCACCCGTCATTTACATCAATTCATCCCTACATACTGTAGTAAACCACAAAAATTGTTTAAACAAGAAAGTACGTGTTTACCTACACGTAAGAAGCAATAAACATTTGTTGGAGGAGGTGGAGCTTGGCGCGAGAGAGAAAAGCTCGGAAAAGTTACCGTCTCTGGGAAACGGTCGCATGCGACGTTATCGGCTCCACAGTGGTCGGGAGCCGCGCTTTTGTGCAATTTATTGATTAAATAAGAAGCAGTAACGGCAGGGACGTCGGCGGCGACGGCGCTCGCAGTGGTGGCCGTCGTCGACGTCCAAAAGTATACATACATAATCCTCATCCCAACCAATTGACCAAGCAACCTGCACAGGCACCCTATAGGACGGCTATTATGCTGTCCAAAGCGCTCGCGCGCGTGCCCCGACAGTTTTTCGTGGGAGCGCAAGCTCGACTTTACACCTACTCCGTGTTGTACAAGGGCGTGAGAGAGTATGTGTACGTGCGTCTTCACGCGAAAGTCACGGCTACCGTGGCCCTTAGTGGCGGTTCTTTCGTCCTGGAGCTCCTGCTGCTCGCGTTAACCCGAGGATAAGTTCACCCTTGTCTTGGTCTTGTACCCATAGTTATGGACTCGCGCTGTCGGTGCGAGCTACTGCAGTCGAACCATGTCGAAAAACTCCAGGGATTGTGAGTCTCGTCCACTTTTTTTCCACCACTCCCCGCCCCCCTCTTTCACCTCTCAGGGATGGATTTCGTGTGAAATTAGTTTTCGCAAGCTCTTGTATCCACTTATTTGCTTGTACCCCCCCCTTTTTTTTAATTTACGCTTGTATTCGAAAGAAAGAGAGAGAGAGAGAGATTGTGTGTGTATGACAAGCTATTTTAAGAAGCTATTTGGATCCTTCCTTTATCACGAAAAAGTATCATATTTTTATGCGGATGCGAGTTGAGCTTGTGGATTGCTTTGGGAAAATTCGACGTGTTTTATATAAGATGAGTTTCAATTTACCTGCATTGGTAAAACAAAACAAAACTTTTTTGTTGTCCCCAGTGAATTGTCGAGTCTCAAAAAAAAAAATGTATATCGATACTCGACGGGCTTGAAATATTTTTCTTCTCGACCTTGTTACAGATAAGCTCATGAATTTAATCAATTTTGTGTTGCAGCAATGTACGAGGAGGAAAGCGAAGAAGAAAGTAAGTAGGGCGTTATTATTACTATTATTATTGTTATTGTTATTATTATAAACAAAAAAAATCATGAGAAACATTATTGTGCCAAAATGGTAAACTAGTAGTATTTCATCGTCTAGGGACTTTTCACTTTTGGCAATCAAATCAAATCACCGCATAGGTACTGTTTACCACACACAAAAATCACTGTTCAAAGCAGTATAAAAAAAAAAAAAAGTTTACGAATAATAAAAGTCCCTAGATGACGAAGTAACACCAGTTTACCATTTGTGCACGGTAGTTCTTAAAAATTTTATTGTCTCAGGGTAGAATTATTATTAGTTTTTTTTTAACACAAAAAATTCAATTAAAAAATGTTGCATGACTTGTTCTTCAGTCGATTCCATGGAAAGTCATGGATCGGTGGTGACGCATCTTCTGTCCCAAGTGAAAATTGGGATGGACTTGACAAAGGTCGCTCTGCCGACGTTTATCCTGGAGCGCAGATCACTGCTAGAAATGTATGCAGATTACTTCGCTCATCCCGATCAGTTTGTCTGGTATGTACACTTTGCGCACCGTGTATGGCACACTTACGCGCATCATGCTCTCGCCTTGCCGTATTTTTTTTTTCTCTTCCGCGCTTTGAAATTAATTGCAAGCAATCGTAAAGAGCGCCACTAGAAAAAAATCTATATGCTCGACATACCTGCATCTCATTTGTTCCAACTATACCCTAAATTTTCGGGTAAAGGTCATTTACAAACGCGTTTGAACAATTTTCAACTGCCTACCACTTTATGCAAAAGTATATTAATAGCACGCTCGGTCACGTTGGATGTCGTGATTTATCATTCACAACATATCTTGATTAGCTCGATGGGACTACATACACATGTATACATTGCAATAACGTTTGCCCAGATTTTTAATATGGTGTTATGTAATTAATTTCATTATAGTTGAGATAAGGCACACTTTGTAATACCTACCTGTGCATCACACTTTGTTCTAATTATCCCCACCTGTAATGATGTAATAAATTTTTTTCTGTCATACGAAAATTTCATTTACTTGCGTAACCGTTATTTAATACTGAATCATTGAACATGACGTGAAGTTGACTTGCGTACTTCATTATACCTACTATGTATTACATGTCATGAGTAGTAATAATTGCTTTCTTTTGTCTCTCGGAGGAAAAAAAAAGAAATCGTTAAAAAATAATTTTATCGTTTGATAGTATTGCCGACATGCCAACACCAAGGGATCGCATGGTGCAGGTGGTCAAGTGGTACGTGTGCAGTTTTCATGCTGGTCGCAAATCCGGCGTTGCCAAAAAACCGTACAATCCGGTGCTGGGCGAGACATTCCGTTGCTTTTGGGACTTGACGTCCACAAGTAAGGACGCGTCAAACACCAAGCACGTGGAAGACGGACCAGTGCCTTGGTGCAACCAAGATCAATTAACGTTCATCTCCGAACAAGTTTCGCACCATCCACCTGGTTAGTAACTGCCATTAATTTCACGTTAATTGCACACCAACGTCGAAAATTACGTACACAGTAATAATCTAGTCAACGATTTCTAACATAAACAGTCACTTTTGTATTTTTTTTTTTATTTTTTTTATTTTCTTGAAAAGTTTATCGGAAAAAATTGCCATAAAGTTACTTGACACTCCATCAAGCGCCAAGCTTGACCAAACAAGGTAATAAACGATATACATTGTTCGCACTTGTGATAAAAAGTGAGCGCCTTCTACGCGGAACACTACGCGAAAAAAATCAGCTTCGAGGCACACGTCTGGACAAAGAGTAAATTTCTGGGCTTGAGCATCGGCGTGCACAACGTGGGCAAAGGTCTGGTGAGGGTGCACGACCGAGACGAGGAGTACGTGCTGACCTTTCCCAATGGGTACGCGCGCTCGATACTCACCGTTCCCTGGATCGAACTCGGCGGCGCCATCAGCATCACCTGTGCCCAGACCGGCTACCACGCCAACATTGAATTCCTCACCAAGCCGTTTTACGGCGGCAAACGCAACCGAATCACTTGCGCGATCAACGGGCCCAACGAGAAGAAGCCCTTCCTGCAGATCAATGGCGATTGGAGCGGCGTCATGGAAGCCAAGTGGGCCGACGGGGTGAGGATGATTACTCTTATTATTATCGTTATCATTATTATTTCTCTTTTCATTTTATGCGTTAGTGAATCGAATATGATTTCCATCGCGTTGTTGTTACTTGTAATTTCAACGACAGAGGACAGAAATGTTTGCGGACGTGAGGGAGCAGAGGATACAGAAAAAAATGGTCAAGACCATGAGCGAACAAGAGGACAACGAGTCGCGCAAAGTTTGGCGAGAGGTCACGATGGGTCTTCGTATCAACGACATGGACAAGGCAACGGCCGCTAAATGCGCGATCGAGCAAAAGCAGCGAGACGACGTGCGTCACCGCAAGGAAAACAACATTACTTGGCAGACAAAGGTATTTTTTTTTCTTCAAATCAATTGCAACTTTTCTGCCAAAACTTTGCACATACGTAATTTTCTTGTTTTCCAACAGCTGTTCAAGGAGACCAATGACGGCGGCTGGGTGTACACAAATCCTCTAGAAACGAGATTACGGGTGACGAGGACGAACAACGACTCGGTGGATGCACCAGGTGCTTCCTCGGCCCCCTAAATCGGGTCACTGTTATTTAATCGCGCGCACAAACAAAAATATACATGAAATTGTTGACAAGATATGATGTACATTTTTAACTTATATATCTTTGCTCGCTGCAGGCCTATACAAGTGAATGTGTGTAAATTTTTTTTTTTTTGCACACTGTTGACACTTTTTTTAGTTGATTGTATGAAGCTCGAAGGAACGTGAAAATGTGTCCAACGGCTTTTGAAATGAAAACTTGCGTTTTATACATTTGTGTGACCTTTTGTTTGTTATTATTCTTTTAACGCATCTATTGACGACGCGTTTGCACAAAAATAAATTTAAAATTCAAGAAATCATGATAGTATTAACGTTTTATACACAGAATCTCAACAGATTGACAAACATTGGGATCATTCATTTTTAGTTGTTACAATAGGGCATGTTGAATGTGATTTATTTTTTAAAAACGAAGAATTCTCTAAATCGTGGCAACGGGTTGAACTTCTATTCACGTTGCCTCGTAACAGTACACATTATTTTTGTGAAAGACCGACAAATGATAAACTAGAAAGTTGAAGAATCTTTGATTCGTTTTTAATGCAAAACTTGAACAAATCCGACCTGTTGACAGCGAAAATCAAATGTATGATACATTAATCCTGAAAAGAGATGATTGTCTAATGTGCGATGATTATCGGTTGAATCTATCCAAGTGGCCTTTGATAATAGATAGACAGAGGTGGGCGACAACACAGGTGTGTAAAGCATTCGTTTCAGCATTCCCGCTCACAATTCTTCCATTTGAAAAACAAAAACATGTTACTCCTCTGGATGCTGAGAAACTTTGATCCTGGATGGTGCATTTATAAATGTAAGAAATATGTATGAAAATTTATTTATCCACTCACAACGGGTAAATAATTTTTAAGTAATGTAAAACAAATTATTATTGTCTTAACAGACTTGTAGTATAAATATACTCTATAGTTATTAACCACAACAAGGAACAATAAATTACACGCGGGTGTATGTAATTATAACATGGCGAGTATTCATAGGATTAAATATAAAAAATGTGTACATTTGTTGAGAGCATGCTTTCTTTGTTAATATTAGTGGCATAATTTTGTAGAGTAATCTGTAATCTGTATGAACGTATATAGTATGTAACATTGAGGTAAAAAAGTTTACAACGTAAATTGATAGGTCTAGCCGAGTTTTAGAGTCGTAAGAGTCCAGCTGCATAAAATCTACAGTTATTGAAGAAAATGTTAATCAATAGATTCTATATGATTTTTCGCTAAAATAAATTACTTTGAGAAATTTCAAAAACAAAGTTAAACGTTTTTTTTTTTTTTTTAATTGCTCCCAATCTTTTTCTTTTATTTTCACAAAATCGACTGATCATTTTTACAAAAATATAATTTAAACTTATTCGTAATAATGAGGAAAGTTTCAAAATAACAAGTATCCCATGTAAGAGTCACCCATTTTTCTGTAAGCTGGAGGAAACCTTGCACTGGAAGACACAAGCTCGCTGATGCCAGCCAAAATACTGGGTACAGCTACTTCACAATAATTTGTATTTAAATCATAATTTATTTTTCTCTTTGGATTTTCACCATACTTGTATGACACTTTCACCACAAACAAGGACTTCAGAGACAATATTTGCTGTTGAAAATTCGCTTTATCCTCAGTGATAATTCTCAACTTAGGTGAAAAAATTTCTATGAACAGATAATGAACACTATTTACGTCACGAGCTTCTAGCAGTATTTGTTCACCAAAAGTCATATTAGTGGTGCATTTGACGGCAGACAAAAAATCACTTAAACAAGAATTAGATTTCTCGATCTTTGGCTCCTTGCGTAAAATATCATACTCTATGCAACAGTTCCAAAATTGAAGGCTTTCCTTTTTTTTTCTACACGAGCCAATTATAGAAAGACATTTGTTGCAATGAATTAAGGAATTCTTTATTTTTAAATTCTCAAAGATACGTTGGTTAAAAACACAGCGGTTGAAAGAATAAAATAAATCTGATTTTTTTGGCTCTAGTGAAATTTCATTGTTGTGACCATGATTACAGCAATACCATTCCTGAGGATCACAATCCGAACTTGGCAACGACAAAATTCTGTTAAAACTGACAGTCTTTGTGATTTGATTTTTACAGCAAGTGCAAATCAATTTGCAATCTTCATTCTTTGACGGCAAATTTGCAACGTGCGGATCAATAATTGTCGATTTACTCAATTGATCATCCAAGTCGACAGTTGTAGTTTTAAATAATTCAATACACAAATTTGACGGAGTAATAATTCTAAAGTATATCCAACGACCTGTCACTTGTAGGGATCCCAAGTAAAAAGGCCATAATTTTATGTCAGGCAAAGAAAGGGAGTAATTTTTTTCTTCGGTTTCAATTTCAATGGAAGCTTTTTGTAATTTGATTTTAATCGCAGTAGAGTCAATATTTTTTTCAAATGTTAAAAAAGCACAGTGAGACCTTAAGCGTGGCCTCAGTTCCAAAGTAAAATGTTCCATTTGATTCTATTGCAAACTGATACAACAAATAATATAAGTTTTTCGCTCAACCAACTGATGGTTATCGGTTGAATCTAAACTTGCTGATGTCTCTAAACAATAAAATTAAAACTATACTTAATAGTACTTAATTAAGAAAGAATCACAACATAACCGCGAATATGTGCGGGAAACTGTAATACGGGCACATGTGTTATTTTCTTTCAATTTCACGTTTTTAGACTATACAGTATACACACGATTACGTAGTAATATATCTATAAATCTATACACATAGGTTTGTTCGGTTACGGGTGTTTGGATTGTTTGGAGCGCTCCAAACCATACAAATATAGGTATATTCGAACGTCGATGACCGACATATCACTGTATCATACGTCAAATACTGTCTGTTGTCGTCTTGTGTCAGCAAAATTTATAACGATAACATGTACTATACTTATGCGTGTGTTTATTCTAAATACATTGCAGTTTGTGGATTGTCTCTCCCACTGGTTTTGTCGTCGACGTTGCTATTTTTTGTTGTTGTTAGATTGCAGATCAACTGATTTTGTTGATAGCAGCCGGCTCGAAAATGGGTTGCTGTTACAGTTTATGCAAAGACGACAACAACCAGCAGGTACAAATTGTTACATACGCCGTTATTTTCGTGTTTGCTCCTTATCTCCGGTTTCTATCAACTTTTTCTTTTGTCCCCAAGTGTTTTTTAATTAAACATTGCTTTCCAGGGAAATGAAGTTAACGAACGCACACATTTGCTTGTGGATCCTGTCAGTAACAACACAAACGTACCGGGAGCACTCAGGTTAGTAAATAATCACAATTTAATCCATCGAAATACTTGATTTGACTTTGAGAAAAATAAATTGTAAAAATGAAATTGTCGACCTAATGTATTGTTGCTGCTGGCATTGCAGTGATGATGGCGCTAACCAGTATGCCAGCTCTGCACCTAAGAAAATGGATGAACAAAGTGCACTCAATAGAATTCTCCACGACACAGCAGTGTAAGCAGTAGTTTTTTAATCTTATTGCAAGATATGCTCTCTGGTACATTTGGATTTTTTATTTTTTTACAGAAATATTATTGACGTAGGAGCATTAGACTCGCACAATCTTGAGCAACATGAATATTTGGAGAGATCAAGGGCTTATGCGAAACGCATAGAGACCGTTGGTGTCAAAGTTCCAGAAATCTCATACTGTCTCCTGAGAGATATACCAGCTCCAGAAAAAGTTCTTGCATCAGAGCCGATAACTCAAAACGATAAACAACTCGTAAGTATCAAGCGTACATAACTGTCAACCATACCTCTTTATGAAAGATTATACGATCAAGTGCTTGCTTTTCTAGATAACAAATTTCATGCAAAAAGCTGTGATGGCCTTGGAGCAAATTAAAGTTCAGCATCAAGAAGATTTAGTGGTGCCATTTTTATCGTGATCGATGCATTCCCCAACAAATTTGCGAGAGAACCTAATGCGAGCTACATCGACTCAGCAGTTGAACAATCTGGATGAATCAATGAGCATTTGGGTGAAGTCGTACTTTACCGATTGAGCCAATTTTATTTGCGGAAAAAACGTTTTCGACGCTGCGCTTTCTAAAATTTATCCTGTATATATTTGGAATTAATTACGTTGAATTTCCTCCCTTTATCGAATAAGATCAAACTCCTAATCTCAAGTGTACTTTTTAGGCTTAAAGTTTACAAAACTATAAATAGTTTGATCACTTTGTGTAATTATTGTATTTGATGCGAGTATCGGGACGCCCCAACTACGTTATCGTCTATAAGTATAAGTTTGACATTATACAATATTCGCTTTATTTATTTACTTTTTTTTTTTTTCTTTACTAAAGTTGGTTGTACAACATTTATTGTAAAAAGTTGAAATCAAATGTATAGTTTTTATTAATACTATGTAAGATAATATGTAATTTAATCGATTGTAAAGTAAAATAGAATCAAATTTATATAAATTATCATTAAAGTTGAAGTTAGGTTTTATTATTGAAAACTCCACGCACCAATTTAAAAACGCTCGATTTTTTTTTCATCCATCTAATGTTAGATCTCTACCGTTATAAAGTTGTCATAAAAATCAAAACATTCCATCGAATAGGAAATCTTCCTAAAAGTGCAAGAAACGTACATAATATTTGAAAATAACGACATTTTATTTCTCTCCATCTTTTGATTGGAGCTGATTCGAGGCAGGAAAAAAGCTAGTGCGTTTATCAAAAAAAGCTCATTTTTGTAAAAGATATTCCTCACAACTAATACTTTGTTCACAATCAGGAAAAATATAAATGCGTTAACGAAATTCCTTGTTTCGATTGTCAAGAAGATGCTCAAAGAGAAATGATGGAAAAAAAATAGAGATTTTATCTCACATTCATGTCAACGGGAGAGCCATTGTTTGGAAGTACAGAAAAAAAATCCTATTCAAACTAAAGATCACCACTATAAATTAACGAAACATTTTTTTGATCAATCAACTGTATTTGATTCAGATGACTCCATTAAATAAAATTTCGAGAAAGTAGCGTCAAAATGACGAGAAAAATGATAAATTTCTTCGAGTATCTTACTGCAGGGGCTCGTAGTTCCTAGGCGTTCTCAACTCGATTTCCAAGCTGTTTCGTACCTCATCGGATCCAATAAGTTGTTTGGTCGCGCGCAATACGATTTGCTCCGTGTCCGGTAGCTTGGCTGGGGCTGCCTTGTTCGGTATAACATTCACTTTCGCGCTTTCGAAATTGAATTCTTTCACTGCATGAATTAAAAAGTAACATGGATAGAGATAAATCCAAATGAAATGGAAAAACGTCCACGTGAAAATAACGCCCCTACCACTTTCATCACCGCAATCAGAGGAATCGGCTTGTTGTGCATCGTTTTGTATCTTGCCGAAATTTTTGGTTACCTTCACCGACAAAATATTACCATCCACTTCGTGGCAAAACTCGTCGTATGGTGGGCGATGCTCAACGGCATCCGGACAAGCAGAATATTGGCACGCGCTACTTTTCTTCTCCATTTTAATCTGATCTATTTTTTTTAATCGGACAACTTTTTTTTGTTTCTACTCGCAAATTTTTGTCAAGATAAATTACACACCCAAAAATTCTAGGGTTAACAACAATTTAAACTTTTCCTATGAGTTTCCATTCCTCAACTGTTTCATAACTATTGACACCGCCAGGACAGAAAAACAATCACCGAATTGCATAAGTACTGAAAAACTACAGCGCAACAAAAACCCTCTGATCAGGATTATAAAAAAGCGATTAAACATTAAAAAATCTTTGTAAATATTCTACTATGACATACAGTTAACAAGAGCTACACTCTAGAATCAATTTGATTCAACCTAAAATCAATCAGAACTGAAAAACGTGCAAAAAACGCCCGTACCTCCGTAAATAATGAAGATATCGCGAAATAGACGTTATTTAAAGATCAGAAAATTTGGAAAACTTTTATAGCGACTTTGCTCGATGTTTGGCACTTGCCAATTGTATAAAATTAATCGTAGGTATCGCAGAGATGTTAGACAAAGGAAGGATGTATATTACAGACACCCACGACACACAGGCTTTTCTCTAAAACTAATTTTTTGGGAGAAAAATTTAGTTCAAAACTTTAATCGCCCGTATCTCCGTAAATAATGGAGTTATCGCGAAAAGGACGTTATTTAGAGATCAGTATATTTCGAAAAATTTTTTAGCGAATTTGCTCGATGATTGGCACTTGCCAATTTTATAAAAATAATTCTAGGTACTGTAGAGATGTTAGACAAAGGTAGAACCATTAATACAGACACCAACGACACAGGGGCTTTCCTCTAAAATGAATTTTTCGGTCATGAAATTTGTTTAAAACTTTAATCGCCCGTATCTCCGTAAATAATGAAGATATCGCGAAAAGGACGTTATTTAGAGATCAGTATATTTCGAAAAATTTTTTAGCGACTTTGCTCGATGTTTGGCACTTGCCAATTTTATAAAAATAATTCTAGGTATTGTAGAGATGTTAGACAAAGGTAGAACCATTAATACAGACACCAACGACACAGGGGCTCTTCTCTAAAATCATTATTTCGGTCGTAAAATTTGTTCTAAACTTAAATCGCCCGTATCTCCGTAAATAATGAGTATATCGCGAAAAGGACGTTATTTAGAGATCAGTACATTTCAAAGAATTTTTTACCGACTATGCTTATGTTTGGCACTTGCCAATTTTATAAAAATAATTCTAGGTACTGTAGAGATGTTTGACAGAGGTAGGACCATTATTATAGACACCCACGACACACAGGCTTTTCTCTGAAACTAATTTTTTGGTCAAAAAATTTGTTTAAAACTTTAATCGCCCGTATCTCCGTAAATAATGGAGTTATCGCGAAAAGGACGTTATTCAGAGATCAGTATATTTGGAAAAATTTTTTAGCGAATTTGCTCGATGATTGGCACTTGCCAATTTTATAAAAATAATTCTAGGTACTGTAGAGATGTTAGACAAAGGTAGAACCATTAATACAGACACCAACGACACAGGGGCTTTCCTCTAAAATGAATTTTTCGGTCATGAAATTTGTTTAAAACTTTAATCGCCCGTATCTCCGTAAATAATGAAGATATCGCGAAAAGGACGTTATTTAGAGATCAGTATATTTCGAAAAATTTTTTAGCGACTCTGCTCGATGTTTTGCACTTGCCAATCGTGTAAAAAAAATTCTAGGTACTGTAGAGGTGTTTGACAGAGGTAGGACCATCATTATAGACACCAACGACACACAGGCTTTTCTCTGAAACTAATTTTTTGGTCAAAAAATTTGTTTAAAACTTTAATCGCCCGTATCTCCGTAAATAATGAAGATATCGCGAAAAGGACGTTATTTAGAGATCAGTATATTTCGAAAAATTTTTTAGCGACTCTGCTCGATGTTTTGCACTTGCCAATCGTGTAAAAAAAATTCTAGGTACTGTAGAGGTGTTTGACAGAGGTAGGACCATCATTATAGACACCAACGACACACAGGCTTTTCTCTGAAACTAATTTTTTGGTCAAAAAATTTGTTTAAAACTTTAATCGCCCGTATCTCCGTAAATAATGAAGATATCGCGAAAAGGACGTTATTTAGAGATCAGTATATTTCGAAAAATTTTTTAGCGACTCTGCTCGATGTTTTGCACTTGCCAATCGTGTAAAAAAAATTCTAGGTACTGTAGAGGTGTTTGACAGAGGTAGGACCATCATTATAGACACCAACGACACACAGGCTTTTCTCTGAAACTAATTTTTTGGTCAAAAAATTTGTTTAAAACTTTAATCGCCCGTATCTCCGTAAATAATGAAGATATCGCGAAAAGGACGTTATTTAGAGATCAGTATATTTCGAAAAATTTTTTAGCGACTCTGCTCGATGTTTTGCACTTGCCAATCGTGTAAAAAAAATTCTAGGTACTGTAGAGGTGTTTGACAGAGGTAGGACCATCATTATAGACACCAACGACACACAGGCTTTTCTCTGAAACTAATTTTTTGGTCAAAAAATTTGTTTAAAACTTTAATCGCCCGTATCTCCGTAAATAATGAAGATATCGCGAAAAGGACGTTATTTAGAGATCAGTATATTTCGAAAAATTTTTTAGCGACTTTGCTCGATGTTTGGCACTTGCCAATTTTGTAAAAATAATTCTAGGTATTGTAGAGATGTTAGACAAAGGTAGAACTATTATTACAGACACCCACGACACACAGGCTTTTCTCTGAAACTAATTTTTTGGTCAAAAAATTTGTTCAAAACTTTAATCGCCCGTATCTCCGTAAATAATGAAGATATCGCGAAAAGGACGTTATTTAGAGATCAGTATATTTCGAAAAATTTTTTAGCGACTTTGCTCGATGTTTGGCACTTGCCAATTTTGTAAAAATAATTCTAGGTATTGTAGAGATGTTAGACAAATGTACAACTATTAATACAGACACCCACGACACACAGGCTTTTCTCTAGAACTAATTTTTTGGGAGAAAAATTTGTTCAAAACTTTAATCGCCCGTATCTCCGTAAATAATGGAGATATCGCGAAAAGGACGTTATTTAGAGATCAGTACATTTCGAAAAATTTTTTAGCGACTTTGCTCGATGTTTGGCACTTACCAATTTTATGAAAATAATTCTAGGTACTGTAGAGATGTCCGACA